GGAAATGATCATGTTGGGAATGTTCCACGTCCACGGTGCAACTTTGGAAATGATCATGTTGGGAATGTTCGACGTCCACGGTTCAACGTTAGAAATGATCATGTTTGGAATGTTCCACGTCCATGGTTCAACTTTGGAAATGATCATGTTGGGAATGTTCCACGTCCACGGTTCAACTTTGGAATTGATCATGTTTGGAATGTTCCACGTCCACGGTGCAACTTTGGAAATGATCATGTTTGGAATGTTCCACGTCCACGGTGCAACTTTGGAAATGATCATGCAGACAATGCACCCCGGACTAGGTGCGTTCCAATAAGTCTTCTTACCAATATGACCATGTTGCGAAAACAAGGTCAAAAAGCTATATTCTATTGGTCACCATGTAGCCTATTGTTATGCTCTACATTAGACTTAATTTATGAATATGCGCTACAATTTTTGCATCATCCTGTCTTGAAGGCTTTCGAGACCCAATTTTTTCTGACTTTCAATAAATATCCCACTTTGTCCTACAGTTGTTCACATTATTTCACTCCATCAACAAACATATTCCGACTGGATATCTTAAGCATCACTTGTTGCCTAGGCGATTATCCAAGACCCTGTTTGTTCTGCCGATGGGCACTAGTCTGTCGCGCTAAATCATTGGCTCGTCTGCTCACCTCGCGGACTCGCAACAGCCCTGCTCTCGTGGAGGCTCGCAGCACCGGCCGTCCTGGCCGAAGACGTCTGGCCCGATCTGGAAGTGAGCATAGCGACCGCTTCTGCCTGACGAGACCCAAAGCCAGGACTCATCAGACACGAGTTGTTCGTGTCTCCTGCCGAGCAGAACGAGGAGGAGGGTTGCGGCGGCGGCGGCGGTGACAAAAGGAGGCTCTGCGAAGCCATAACCCCCGCTCCTCGAGGCAGCGGAAGCGACGCAGCCGAGAAAGCAGCGCCGGAAGTGACGAGGAACTTGGACATTGTCGTCGATGTCGATGCTGTCGTCGTCGGTGCCAACAGTTGCTGTGGCAACGTGAGCGGTGGCGGCGTAGAATTTGAAGATGCAGAGGCTGCTGCTGCGGTGGCTGCAGCGGTTGCCATGGAGGCGGCGAATCGAGAGAAGGCGAGTGCCGCAGCTGCGGTCTCGGAGCTCGGAGCTCCGGTGAGGGTGGGGACGGTGGCGGAGAGGGACTGGCGACCGAGTGCAAGTCCTGCGGATCCGAGTCCGAGTCCTGCCATCGGAGAGGCCGAAGAAGAGGCGATCAAACGAGCGTAGAGCGCAGCGGCGGTGGCGAGAGCGTCGAAGCCGGTCAGACCGCTGCCGCCGGCGGGAAGATGGCCACCGACTGATCCTGGCAACAGGTCGACCGGTAGCGAGGGTAGCGATGGCAACAAGGGCAGCGTCATGCCGGGCAAAGTGGACCGATTGACGGAGACGAGAGGAGTGCCTGCGGCCGCTCTTCTCGGCCCCAAAAGACCGGATTCCGCGGGGCTGGCGTCCATCTCTAACCGGTTGCCTGACGCCATCGGCGGTGTTGCCGCCTCGTGGCCGAATGTGGTCTGACCAACTGGAAGAAAGACAACGAGGCATGGCAACTGTTAATCGAGCAACCGGTCGAAAAGTGGCAACTAAGCCTGAAGCAATACAGTACCCGATGCCGTCAGCAGTTTGTTTACCTGATACTGGAGCCAACTCACACCACAACATGCACGTACAACAATCACACTGGTACAGTTACTCTGATGAACAGCAAATCGGACCTACTCGCGATTGTAAAATACTTCCGGTGGCTGAATGATATGCATTATGCATCACATAAGCACGATCCGGGATGAAGTAAAGTAAAGTAAAGTAAAGTAAAGTAAAGTAAAGTAAAGTAAAGTAAAGTAAAGTAAAGTAAAG